AATAAGGAACTTTTAATTTAAAATTCAAAAGTGATTAGGTCTAGTTTATTGCACATAAATATATTTTAGAATGTAATTTTTCCTACAACCACTTAGGAAAGTGACTATTTAGTCTAGTCTATACAGTGTGTCCGTAAAGTATGGACGGACACATTGTATATCACTCGCGTCTATTCGGTGTTCAATAAAGAATAAGCCGAACTCTAATTTTGCTTGCTTAAGAAGTTACAGATAAACTTCTTAAGCAAGCAATTGTACTACATCTGAAGTTTGGCCCATTTTTTACTGAACATCCTGTATATATCACCGCATCAGCTCTCAGATATGTCAGATGCAAATTTTTAACATTGATTTTTATGATTAGATCTTAGATATTTACTTTTAACGAATATTAAAATAATTTAAAAGTAACCTCTACATTATTTTTCTTTTTTTTTTATTAATACAAATATTTAATTATTTTTTAAGCACTCAATATAGATTCAATTCTCAATAAAAGCAATCATTATTTTATTTTTGAAAAATATGGTAAAATAAAAAAATACGACAATTGTTGTTTATGTATTTATTTTAAATACGGTTTATTTATCATAATATAAACCCCTGCATATACAAGTAGATAATTTACTGCTATTTATTTTGTACAATTTTGATAACTGTTTAGAAAAAAATAATTGTAAGTAAATATAATCTTTAATAATAGAAATGGTTCTTGTTTATTATTTATAATTGTTCACCTTATTATTTGTTTGTCGTATTTAAAAAAATAAACTAATGAAAAACATTATTGTATTGTATTTTTTGCATCCTATATTATTTTACCTTTATCATACTCAAAAAGTGTTTGTAAATAGAATCACAATGTTTTTAATTTCAACAAAACACCATCCGTAAAACATTTTAAAAATGATTGAATAAGTCAAGGGCGACTCCAGGGTGAATTTTTGGAGGGAGTCTTTTTACCTAGGACTATTAATACACTCAAATTGAACACGTGAAATACCCCTCCAACCCCCAACCAACCATAAGGTAAAATATTCGAGAAAATGCTTAAGACAGGTCGATTTTTATTTCTGGTGAAGCACATTTCTGAAAAAAAAAATCATTCTAATTTCAATATTGTTTATACAATTTATCAAAAATCTGATGTGTCCAACACATGACTTTCCTATCTAGTTATTACAGGCTTTTTCCGGTTATTTTGTACAACATATTGCAGCACCTCCATAAATGTTTAGAGGATAAAATAAATATATACATTTTCCACATACATCTACCTAGAGACATTTTTCTATAGATATTCATTGAAAATGAAAATACTGAAAAATTTAAATTTACACTTTTCCTACAATTTTTCCATTACGGTCCATTTTAGAAAAATCATGTATAAACAAAAATTATAGAGATCGATATCGCAAACAACTTTTATTTCAACAATTTTCATAAAAATCAGAATTTTGCACATTTTGTCAAATTTCTCGAATACGGACCATTTCAGGAAATTTTGACATTAAGCAAAAATTATAGATAATAATATTAGAAATAACTTTTATTTGAACAATTTTTTTCTCCAAACATAAATAATAGATATATTCCATAAAATATGAAAACGGCCCCCCCATAAAGTACCCCCCCAATGTTCCGACTTTGTCAAAAATAAAATCTAATAATTTCACGTCAGGCCGAAATAAAACTTAAGTTTAAAATTTAATGTTTTTTTCTTTATCCGATTTTGAATTCGAAATTTACACATTTTCTCAAATATCTCGAATACGGTTCAGTTTAGAGAAATTATGTATTGATTAAAAATTATAGAGAATTATATTACAAACACTTTTGTTTGAACAATTTTTATAAAAAAATATTTTTTTACATTTTGTCAAATTTCTCGAATACGGACCATTTTAGGAAAATTTTGTAAAGAACAAAAATTTTAGATAATAATATTGTAAGTAACTTTTATTTGAAGAATTTTCTCCAAACGTAAATACCAGATAAATTCCATAAAATATAAAAATGACCACCTATAAAGTACCCCCCCCCAGATGTTCTGACACTGCCCAAAATATAATCAGCACATTGGACGCTGGAACAAAGCTTAAGTTTAAAATTTGGTGTTTTTCTATGTATCGGTTCATGAGTTATGCGACACACACACACACACACACACACACACACACACATACACACACACACACACACACACACACACACACACACACACACACACATACACACACACACACACACACACACACACACACACACACACACACACACACACACACACACACACACACACACACACACACACACACACACACACACACACACACACACACACACACACACACACACACACACACACACACACACACACACACACACACACACACACACACACACACACACACACACACACACACACACACACACACACACACACACACACACACACACACACACACACACACACACACACACACACACACACACACACACACACACACACACACACACACACACACACACACACACACACACACACACACACACACACACACACACACACACACACACACACACACACACACACACACACACACACACACACACACACACACACACACACACACACACACACACACACACACACACACACACACACACACACACACACACACACACACACACACACACACACACACACACACACACACACACACACACACACACACACACACACACACACACACACACACACACACACACACACACACACACACACACACACACACACACACACACACACACACACACACACACACACACACACACACACACACACACACACACACACACACACACACACACACACACACACACACACACACACACACACACACACACACACACACACACACACACACACACACACACACACACACACACACACACACACACACACACACACACACACACACACACACACACACACACACACACACACACACACACACACACACACACACACACACACACACACACACACACACACACACACACACACACACACACACACACACACACACACACACACACACACACACACACACACACACACACACACACACACACACACACACACACACACACACACACACACACACACACACACACACACACACACACACACACACACACACACACACACACACACACACACACACACACACACACACACACACACACACACACACACACACACACACACACACACACACACACACACACACACACACACACACACACACACACACACACACACACACACACACACACACACACACACACACACACACACACACACACACACACACACACACACACACACACACACACACACACACACACACACACACACACACACACACACACACACACACACACACACACACACACACACACACACACACACACACACACACACACACACACACACACACACACACACACACACACACACACACACACACACAGACACAGACATCATCGTCAAAACGGATTCAGGGGACCTCAAAACGTAAAAATCCGTCGAAAACTTGAGGTCGAAAAAAATCATGATTCCTATACTTTTCTTATATCTGTATACAGATAGGAAAGTAAAAATATACAGGGTTTCTCATTAAGTACACTGAAGATTCTCTGATTAAAAGTAAGACAAATATACGAAACATGCTTACGTAATTTATTTATTTATTTATTTATTTATTTATTCACGGGTAACCCCATTAAAAAAAAATACAATATTAATTAGAATAAAAACAGCAAAATAAATACTTAACAAAATACTAAACTAATACTAATATAGGTAATATAAAATACTATACAAAATATAAAATATAACGGCATCAAATAACAATTATAAAATCAGTTAGAAAATGAAGACAAAAAAAAAAATGTTAGACTTCCATATTATTTAAATAAGTCCTGAGAGCATTAATAGTTCCAAAAATATCACAATTTTTACATTTCAACTTATTACATTCACGTAACATTCGACTTACTGGTGAATTAAAGGCATAATTAGTGGTATGTAGTGGTATATTAAATAAGTCGAATTGTCTAGTCCTACTAAAGGTATTAAAATTAATAAGACCTACTGCTTGGGGAGAATCAATATTCCCTGTTAACAATTTATTTATAAAAATTATATCAGAAACTGTTCTTCTAAAGTGAAGTGATTTTAAGTTTAATTGAGAATTAATTGAAGCATATGAGTAATCTCCTCTTATATAACCCATTTTATAGGCGCATATTCTCAATAATAGTTTTTTTTATTTTTCAGTATATAATTTTACAAAATTCGGCATATGATACACATATATAAGCAAAAATCATTTAGATAAACTTTGCTAGTAGCGTACGGTATGGATAAGTAACACTTTCAACCCCTCTAAATGTCAAAAAAACTTATTTGGTGAATAAATTAAAATTTTCGCGGTTTTCGAGATATTATTCTTCATTTTATAATTTATTTCTGGATTTTTGAATTTTTATTCCTAAAAAGAGTAATGATTTATTTAAAAAACATCAAAAAATTTAAAATTATAGCCAATAATAAATCATTATTTATTAATTTTGAAACTTTAACGCACTGTATTTCGGAAAAAACGATTAAAATCTTACTCAAGCATATTTAATTTACTCGTCTTATTTATAATTAGAGAATCTTCAGTTTTTTTATGTCTCATTCTTAATGAGAATTTTTGCCCTTTCTCCCTTCCCTTTTGCCCTTTTTCGTTATCGTATTTGCTATAGTTTCTAAGAAACGTCTAATTTAAACCCCCTGTATGAACATTATCCTCTTAATAATTTTTATACACTAACAAAGGAAAGATTATTAACTAAATATTTGTAGTGTTTACGGAAAAGCTTTTGCGCCAAAATAAACAAATACCTACTTAAAAGCAAATTAACTAATAGACATTGAGACTTACTGGTCCAAATAGACGACATCTGTCTTGAAAAAGAATGTCATTGAGGGGTGGATTATAATAATATGATTAAAATATTCTTCCAAAGCGTCGAAAAGTTATAAAAGAACGTGTCGCGTAGCGAAAAATGGAGTCATTGCACTAATTTAGAACGATCGTAGTAACCCGCGTTTAGAAACGAACTTTGAATGAAAAATAATGTACAGCATAATCTTTGTCCGTGTGTCGAATTAGAATTATTAAAGCGAAGAGTGATATCACTTATCGTTTCTGACCTTTAAGTGTGTACTAAGCCGGAGCGCTCAGCTTAGCACGTTGTGCAGCTTTTAGTTGACTCTAAGGACCATTGGTAAAAAATAATCTACCCTATCCATATAATATTATCAAAGGTAATAAATACCACGAGTTCTTTAAATTTAATAGATCAAATTTAAAAGGACGAGTGTTATTTAGAAAGATTCCTTTTTGAATCATTTTGCATACATATTTGGAGTAGGTAATAATGAAAAGCTTCTAAGTGTTTATTAAACATACTATAAATATTTGTTTATTTTACAGTGACATAATTTCCTTTAATAGTCTAAATATATAGAATTGGGCGAAAGTCCGGAATAAAATTATTATCTGTTCAACCAGTAACTTAAAAAAAAACGCTGAAACACGTAAATTGATTAGACGTATTTGTTGAAAATAAAATGATTTTTTTTCCTTCGACCCATTAGCTGTAACCCTACTCAACTTTTTTTTCAAATGCAAAAGTATATCGTGTGTAGGGTTATTATAAAGCTCGTGAAAAATGGAATCTCAACATACTTTTTTTCTTTTACTTATGTGGTTATTGGGAAATTAGAAAAAAATTCTTTTAAAAACAAAAAAGTTACAAGTATCTCTTTAGTGTTATTGATGGGTGAAATAACGTAGTAGATGTTGAAAATGCCCTCCACTCTCTACTTGTCAGGCTCCCAGGCGATGGTAAAACCTATATCGGTAGGCTATCTTTAATTCTGAATAAGTTTTTATTAAAAATAGCCGTGTCTGGCCAGTCAAAACACCAAATTTTATTGATTTACCATGTTTAAAACTGATAACGCAACCTAGTATCAACATTCGTTGGAATTTATGTTTTGAGAAAACACTGGAAAATAAAATAAGTTTAATCCTAAGAAATTGTTGAGCAGTGTACTTCAAAAAGCAGAAAAATTGATAAATATTTTGGCTCAGTTTTTATCATTTCTGTGCACAATAGTTTATTAATTTGGGTATCTTGAAAATGTTCTATTTTAATTTATTGAACGAAAATGGTATTGTCAGAGAAAAAGCGTATCGGAGTCTTGATATTGTTGGGATGTGGGGATAGAATGCGAAGTCAAAGTGAAATGTGTACTTTATTTAATGCAAAATATCTAGAAAATCACATTCACAGGGTTAGTAAGATCTTCCATTAATTTGAAGAACATAGTACAGTGAAGGACTTATCCAGAAGTGGCCGGCCACATGTTTTAGACGAAGATAAAAAATTGGACATTGATGAATGTCTTAGTACAGTCTTGCCCAAGGTTTTCCTTAATAGTCGTTCAACAATTTCTTTATTATTTCCAAAATTTTACAAATCAATAATTTCTTATTTCTCCATAATCAATTTTTTGAGTTCCAGCATTATTCGCTTTAAATATTTGATGATTTTCCGTTGTCTCGATACGGTTTGCTGTTATTTTGTTAATTTAATATTCTCAACTTCATTCTGTGCTTCCAAGTTTTGGATTCGTCTTTTGAACTTCTTTTTACGAGGGCAATCAAGAAGATTCTCTTCTGACTCTATATGTATGTACAACTTTCTTTACAAACAGAAGGTCCAGGAAGAACTAAAGAAGCTTCATCACTGGCAGTTGTTACCTGTTAAATCAAATGGTTGTCGGTTCTTACCTGAAAAATCTGATGTATCCAACACATGACTTTCCTATCTAGTTATTATAGGCTTTTTCCGTTTATTTTGTACAACCTATTGTAGCACCTCTATAAATGTTTACAGGATAAACTAAATATATACATTTTCCACATACATCTAACTCGAAACATTTTTCTATAGATATTCATTGAAAACGAAAATTTCAGTAAATTTTGAAAAAAAAAAAACAAACTTATGGATATTAGAAGTAACTTTTATTTGAACAATTTTCTTCTCCGAACATAAATAACAGATATATTCCATAAAATATCAAAACGGCCTCCCATAAAGTACCCTCCAGATGTTCCGACTTTGTCCAAAATCCAATCACTTCACGTCAGGCCGAAATAAAACTTAAGTTTAAAATTTAATGTTTTTTTCTTTATCTATTTTTGAGTTTTCTTCAAAATTCGAAATTTACACATTTTCTTAAATATCTCGAATACGGTCCATTTTAGAGAAATTATGTATAGAATAAAAATTATAGAGAATTATATTACAAACAACTTTTATTTGAACAATTTTTATAAAAAAATATTTTTTTACATTTTGTCAAATTTCTCGAATACGGACCATTTTAGGAAAATTTTGTATAGAACAAAAATTATAGATAATTATATTAGAAGTAACTTTTAATTAAAGAATTTTCTTCTCCAAACGTAAATAACAGATATATTCCATAAAATATAAAAATGACCACCTATAAAGTACCCCCCCAGATGTACCGACTCTGCCCAAAATCTAATCAGTTCATTAGACGCTGGAATAAAGCTTAAGTTTAAAATTTGGTGTTTTTCTGTGTATCGGTTCATGAGTTATGCGACATACAGACACACACACACACACACACACACACACACACACACACACACACACACACACACACACACACACACACACACACACACACACACACACACAGACATCATCGCGAAAATAGTCAAAACGGATTCAGGGGACCTCAAAACGTAAAAATCCGTCGAAAACTCGAGGTCGAAAAAAATCATGATTCCTATACTTTCCTTATATCTGTATACAGATAGGAAAGTAAAAATCTGATGTGTCCAACACATGACTTTCCTATCTAGTTATTATAGGCATTTTCCGGTTATTTTGTACAACCTATTGCAGCATCTCTATAAATGTTTAGAGGATAAACTAAATATATACATTTTACACATACACCTACCTCGAAACATTTTTCTATAGATATTCATTGAAAACGAAAATACAGAAAAATTTAAATTTAGCACTTTTCCATTACGGACCATTTTAGAAAAATCATGTATAAACAAAAATTATAGAAATCGATATCGCAAACAACTTTTAGTTCAACAATTTTCATAAAAATCAGAATTTTGCACATTTTGTCAAATTTCTCGAATACGGACCATTTCAGGAAATTTTGACATAAAACAAAAATTATAGATAATAATATTAGAAGTAACTTTTATTTGAACAATTTTCTTCTCCAAACATAAATAACAGATATATTCCATAAAATATAAAAACGGCCTCCCATAAAGTACCCCCCCAGATGTTCCAACTTTGTCCAAAATCTAATCATTTCACGTCAGGCCGAAATAAACCTTAAGTTTAAAATTTAATGTTTTTTCCTTTATCCGTTTTTGAGTTTTCTTCAAATTTCGAAATTTACACATTTTCTCAAATATCTCGAATACGGTCCATTTTAGAGAAATTATGTATAGGACAAAAATTATAGAGAATTATATTATAAACAACTTTTATTTGAACAATTTTTATAAAAAATTATGTTTTTTACATTTTGTCAAATTTCTCGAATACGGACCATTTTAGGAAAATTTTGCATAAAACAAAAATTATAGATAATTATATTAGAAGTAACTTTTATTTGAAGAATTTTCTTCTCCAAACGTAAATAACAGATATATTCCATAAAATATAAAAATGACCACCTATAAAGTACCCCCCCAGATGTTCCGACACTGCCCAAAATCTAATCAGCTCATTGGACGCTGAAGCAAAGCTTAAGTTTAAAATTTGGTGTTTTTCTGTGTATCGGTTCATGAGTTATGCGTTATACAGACACACACACACACACAGACACACAGACACACAGACACACAGACACACACACAGACATCATCGCGAAAATAGTCAAAACGGATTCAGGGGACCTCAAAACGTAAAAATCCGTCGAAAACTCGAGGTCGAAAAAATCATGATTCCTATACTTTCCTTATATCTGTATACAGATAGGAAAGTAAAAAGGGAAGTACGCCCATGTCAATGGCAGTTTTAGGTTAGAAACAACTATGACGCATTAATTAAAATTTAACATTAGACCTACAAAATAAATGGTGTTACGATAAAAAATAATTTTCAAAAGTCGTTTTTAGCAGTCTTTGAGCACCAATGCATTTATCACTATATTTATTGCACTAAGATTATGTATTATTGAATTAAAATAAAATTTTTAACTATTCTATTATCGACTAAAAATGGTCCAACAACTAATAACTTACAAAATACGAGTATAGTACAAAAACTGACTTTTAAATGACAATCAATCAATCAATAAATCGTTAACCAAAATGGCCGACCTTGTCATGTACGTTTCCTATTCACATACTTTGATTAATCAAAGTATGTGTTCCACATACTTTGATTTTCTATTGGAAATATGACACACATCTTATTTGTTGCACTAGTTGTAAGTTTTCTGCTCTAATCGCATTTGATTTGTTCAGTGTAGATTCAAATATTTGACTGTAGCCACATACTTCATGTGACTGTAGCACACGTGTATCATATACTTATGACAGTATCGAATGTCGAATGTGACAGTAGTGCAACTATTAAAATCCACTATAAGAATAAGATCCACTTAAAAAATTGGCATTTTGCATATTTTGAACGACCTAAATTGTCATAAAATTAAATCTTTATGATTGTGTACATTTTCTATATTAAAGCGTTATAGCTACAGTGTGGAAAAGTCAAATGGAATAAATTCATTATTTCGATTACTGTACATATTTATAGAAAATCCCGAAACACATCAAATTTAAATTATAAATTGACATTCTTTAAAGTGAAAATGTGATCCCTACCTTCAACCCCCTTTGAGTAACAGTTACAACCCCTAATTTTTTAATTGGGAAGTATAGGCTTGTGATATATCGTTTGAAAGGTCTCTTAATTCTCTATCCAAAAATTTTATGATTTTTAAATTTACTGCAAAAATTAACATAAAAAAAATAAAATCATCTTATTACCGAAATTCTCTAGAGTACCTACACTACTATTTCCCGTTTCAGTCTTTATAATAAGACAGTACCTAACCAA